TCTCTCTTATGGTGTCAGCAGCTACAGATATACGACAACCTAGGTCTACAGCAGCATCTATGGGACCATTTTATTTCATTACGCTTATTGTATAAACGCCTTTGAACAGCCGACCCATATTTTGGGTTTACGACTACTAATGTTCAACTCCACAGCCTTGCAATTTTGATTCCAATCCAGAAGACAAGGGAACTCCCGGATCAAATATAAGGGGGGAAATTTGTCCTTGTGTAGGACTTAGCCCATTGATACCAAAGCCGTAAATGAGACTGGATAAATGAATTTTATAATTACCTTTTTTTTAATTTCCTTATACTTACTGTACATTTTTCTACACACAGTATTGCAATTTGAAAACTCTCTTAACTATTATAATTTCTATGCAATAAAACAAAATTGAACACTAAAAACTGAGGAGGTCCGTACAATTTATTTTTTAATAGAGAGAGATATTTTCGATAACCAATATTATCAAATGCTTTATTAAATAAGAGCATTTTGTGTTAAATAATTAACAATAAAAAGTAATGATAGTTTGCTCTTGATGAGTTGAAAATGGAGTTGAGCAAATAAAGGCCCCGCTACAATATCTTAAAACATCGCTAAACTTCAATTCGGTTCTTACGGGTTGGATTGAAAGGAGAATTTTATTCGGCTTCCTTACCCTTAAATACTCTACTCTACAATTTTATAAATTTCTCAAGAATATTAAGATTCTATGGATGGTATTTTCAGTACAAATGTAAACAATAACGAGCTGTATGCCTGCTCTAGTTCCGGTTAGAAAGTTTGCAGCTGCTTACTACATGTTATTCTGCGAGGCGATATTTTCAAACGGATAATTTTGTTTTCAATAAAAGAAATAAATTAGATAATTTCTGAGCTCAAATCTGCCGTNGGGGGGTCACCCATTTCACATACACAATGGACTGCTTCACGAGAGGGCAGTGAGAACGTTTCCAATCATGGTGTCACGACAAAAGAGCAGTGAGAATCGAGGCTTGAGACTATTTATTGTGTCGTTTTGCGTTTCCAATTTTATTTTGCAAGGGTCACGGTGCTCAGCTATTTTTTCGAGTGACTGTATTACAGCTTTCAGGGAATTGAGGGGTTGGCAATAAATTACGAACAAAAACAAATCTTTTTGAAAACATTATACTAAAAAATACAACCATAAGCTTGTAAGTTGTTTCGATTACTTTGGTAGTAATTAGCAACTATTGACGATCGAAATGGGTTACGGGTAGTTTAGAGCAGAACTCTTTACCAATTGCAACACTTCGCATGCTTTTCCTATTAGCGTGTGGAGAGTCATAGATAGAAGTACGTTACTTTCTGTCTTGATTTTCAAATAGATCAAAACTTAATTAAACATAGTTCTAAAAGAAAGCGTCATGGAAATTTCATAAAATATTTTTAACAATTAAACGCGAAAAACATTAAGAAAGGTTAAAATAGCGAAGTACATTTCTATGGATGGTGTTTTCAATATAAATGTAAACAATAACAATCCCGAGATCTATACCTGCTCTAGTTCCGTTTAGAAACTTTGCAACTGCTAACTACAGCACAGCTTATTCTGCGAGGCGATATTTTCAAACGGATAATTTTGTTTTCTATAAAAAAAATTAATAAGACAATTTCTGTGCTCAAATTTGCCGTATTTCATAAGATATTAATATTATTATGTAATTCTGGTGAGTTTGAAGTGAAAATTCGTTTTAGTTACTTATAGATATATATATTGGTAAAAAAGGCGGCATGGTTGCTAGATTTTGAGATAACTCGCAGATTTGGCATCTTTCTATTTGTTTATTACTGTTTTTGTTGCACGCTGTGCACCGTAACTTACGTTAGTGTTAGCACCATTAGAATTGTAAACACAAGTATTGTTAGCATTTAAAACACAAGTAATCAAATACCAATTTTGCAAGAATCTCAGAACACAATGATCACGCTCTGAGCCAAATGGCTTTATATAGACCGGAAGGAATGCTGGAAATGTATTGTATCTCAGTTAGCAAACAGGTAACGGCGCGAAGCGCCGCTAACTGATTCATCGAAATTAAAAGTCCTAAGTTGCATAGGCATACATTTCATAAAGAAATAAATGCAAAAAGTTCATCACAGCTTAAAGCTGTGAAGGTCATATGAGAAGATGACTTGTAAGCAGTGGAACACTAGTTCTGTGGCTCGGGGAGGAGGGAGCGGAGCAACTTCACTAGCTCTTCATCTTTAAGTAGCTCCTTCATTTCTTGGAAGAGTCTTAGAAATCTGGAAGCAGAGTCTGTGGCATTCTTGGGTTTCCTTTTAACTTAGGGAGCTTCCTGGGTCTTGCACCGCAGTCCGTAAAACAGGCTGGGTGCTCACCATTACAGTTGACGCAGGTCGCCGGCTCTGTGGATGGTTTTTGTAGTGGTCTTTAGCGCATTTCATGCAGGCGGGAACTGTGGCTGTACAATTGCGCTGAGTGTGCCCAAATTTCTGGCATTTGTAGCATTGGGCTTGAAAATCTGCCGCCTGTGAAACGCTCGATCTGAACTGGTCTCTCTAGGATAGATCTAATATTGTAGATATTTCGGCTATTGGCTGTATCCCATTGGATGATGAGAAAAAGTGGGAGGGGCCTAAGCTCCTCCCCACTTCTTCGCCGTAGCTGCACTATCTTTTCCGGGACAAATCCGAATTCTTTAAGATATTTCTCCAATTCGAGAATATCTGTATCAATTTAAAGTCCTCTGATAAGGGTTTTCAACTTTTTGTTAGGAGTCGAGTCCATAGTTATGGTGTTAGAAGTGGTGGTCTCAACCGAATCGGCATCCTTCACACACTCTGCCGATACTGGGTCCGCTTGGGTGGCGGGAGCTGCAACTGGGTTTGGGCTGGTGGTCTTGCCGTCTGATTTTATGTCTGCTAATGTTGCCTGGATAACACTAGCCTTGAACTTTTTCTTCCTTTTCTTTGTCTTTTTCTCAGGGAGATTAGAAATATCTGAAGTATCCATCTGGGAGGTGGTCTGTGATTGTATCTCAGGCTCATTACTTGGAGTAGATAAGTCAATATCAGAAATTTGAGTTTCCATGAGTTCCGCTGAAGTCTCGGATATTTCGGTCTGTCGGGGGGTTTCTGTCTTAGTAGAGTCATTGGTCTTTACTACAGTCTCAGTCATTGTAGTCTCCCAGGCTTTCCAATTCTCTTTGAACTCAGTGTCCTCAGGGAATAGCTCCATCCTTCTTTCTGCATAAATTTTAATTTCTTTCATTGATTCTTCTTTTCTGTTGTCTGCTCTTTTATTCATAAATATCTTATGTGCGTTGATCATAGCGTCTATATCATCCTTGGTACTATGTTGAAGTGATGGGTGACCAGTGGGTGGCTAATTAAACATCCTTTTGCCACCACGTCCGAATCTATGATAAGTAGACACAGAGCCGGATTATACCTTTCGTAGGCCCTAGGCACAGAGCCGGATTATACCTTTCGTGGGCCCTAGGCATAGCCGTTTTTGGGCCCTCCCCACCTTCCCTCACTCCTCCCCTCTTTTCAACATATATGCTAAAATTTTCTTGCATATTTTTTTTTACATTTTTATTAATATGGATTTTAATTTAAAAATTTGTTTATCGAACNTCAGTCACAACACAACTTTACTCCACAACGTCTGAAGAGAGAATCCAATGGTCAAAAAATGTGCACCTAAAATAGACCGGAGACAGTAACCCGGAAATATAGGCGGTATGGAGCTTGCAGCGTTCTCCCTAGTGTAGAAAACAACATCCATAGAACTAGAAAGAGATGGGAGAGTTTTCAACAAATTTCCTTTCGTGTAAGACAAAATTAAATAATACCTTACAATAGACGTCCATACACCGAAATGTGAATGGTATTAAAGAAAGAAAACATACTTTTTTTATGGAGGATGTTAACATAAAATACACTGCCATTTTAAATAAATCTTATCTAACAGTACAAGATAAAATTTGCGGAAAATCCATAATCATTCAGAGCTTTCTTTGAAAAATAACGAAAACTGATTAGAAAATTGCTGAAAACTTTTTCATTAGCAACTAAATACAATTCACTACGACATTTTATTAAAAAAAAAATTTTATTTTATCTTCGCACATGCAAAGCAAGAAAAAGCTGCTTTAAAGGCTTAGATTTTGCGCAATTTTTAACAATTTCATTTTGAAATAATAATTTTGTTATTAATTATAAATTATTTCGAAAATTTAGCTAAATATTTTTGAAGTTACAGCCAAAAACTGCAAACAAATTTTTTTTTATATATAAAAACTATATTACTATGAATATTTAAGCTAGGTTAACAAAATTTAATTCAATTATTGAAAATGACTACCGAAGTAATCACGGCAAGCTACAAGTTTATGGCAATGTTTTCCTGTCATAGGGTGTTCAAAAATCCTTGTTTTCGTTCGTAATTTAATGTCGGTCCCTTTAATCTGTGAAAGCTTTGAAACTTATTGATAAGCATGAAAAATTGCATGACTTAAACACCTCTAAATTACAAACTAATCGTCTCCGTATTTTTTAAGAAATTTAGAAAAATGCCAGAACTGAAAGTGTCTCTTCCATTACTATAAGGGTATTGTATATTATACAAAATGATTTTGAAAATTGATCAAACTGGCTGCTAAAGGCAGATAGTACTCAATACTTTTGATAATTATTTTCTAATAAAATAGATTGAAAAATAATTATTCAGCAAATGAAAAATCAAAAGTAAGTTTTCTAGCACATACGTGGTAAATCTAAAGAGAGTAATAATATCAGTTAGTAACTGTTGTCACAGGTTACTACATACATTGTAAGTAAAAGTTCACCACTGGATGCCACAATTATCTTAACTGGCTCAAAATGCAACGCCTACCCTAGTACAAAAGTTAGGTTATTCAACCCAATGTATTCAACTTTTCATTCATCACATCATGTATAACAGTAAATCACACTATAATAAACACAACTGCAAACAACCAGAATGCTACTTTGTAAGAATATTTTATTACACACATAGAAAAAAAAAATTTCTTTGTCCAACCTTATAAATTCAACTTTTCATAGTGCAGAGTAATATCATTTTATATTATCTCACACCATACGAAAGTTAGGTTATTCAATCTTATGAATTAAACTTTTTATACTTCGTATAATGTACAATAGTAAATTACACCATAATAAACATGACTATGTTCAACTAGAGAGCTATCTATTTTGTAAAAATATTTTATTACACACACAACAAAAAATAGATCATTTAACATTAGGAACATGATTGTAAAAAAAGTTGAACATCCTTACTTTACATAAAATGTGGCGATAAATCACTTCACATGAACATCATTATAATAGCTTTAAAAAATTCTTAAAAAATAAAATGAAATAAATTTTAAAGAAAGTCTTTCACAAATTTATAGAATTTCCTTAAAAAACTTGCAAATGCAATTTTAAGGATTTTTTTAATTGTCTTTATCATTTTTTTTAATTGACATTTTATTTTAATTGTTTATAAACAAAAAATAGAAATATACTTTGTACAAGATATGGAAATTGTACTAAAAACAAGAATTTAAAAAAAATATCTTTGAGAAAATTTTAAACTTGATTCCTTTATCCATTATGCTATAATACTCAGTATAAGTATAGAATTAAATAAAGTGCATTTTATTTTAACCTTTTATAGAAAAATAGAAATATTTATAACAAGATAATGAAAATGGGCTGAATCATCATTATAAGAACCAAACTACAAATATGACAAAAAAATTTTTTAATGAACTAGGAAGCTATTTCAAAATGACAAATTAAAATCATTTTCACATTTCTTTATTGAAAGTAATTATTTAGTTAAATAGTTTTTAAAAATAAAAAAAAAACTTAATTATGATTTACTCATTTTGATTATTTTTTTTATGATCAGTAAATATTTAAATGACTTGCCTTGAAGAACAAGAAGTTGATTTTATGAAGCAATCTATACTACTTTATATGTTTCAAAAACCAACTAAGAATAAGGCTTCTCACCAGTATGAACACGACTGTGTCTTGTGAGATGACTTTTATGTGAAAAACTCTTATTACATATACTACAGGAATAAGGCTTCTCACCAGTATGAACACGACTGTGTCTTGTGAAATGACTTTTATGTGAAAAACTCTTATTACATATACTACAGGAATAAGGTTTCTCCCCAGTATGCACACGGCTGTGTCCTGTCAGGTTACTTTTGCGTGAAAAACTTTTATTACATAAACTGCAAGAATAAGGCTTTTCACCAGTATGAACACGACTGTGACTTTTCAGACTACCTTTGTCAGAAAAACTCTTATTACATATACTACAAGAATAGGGCTTCTCACCTGTATGAACAAGATTGTGTCGTGTCAGATGACCTCTGTGTGAAAAACTCTTATTACATATACAACAAGAATAAGGCTTATCACCAATATGAAAAAGATTGTGTTGATTCAGACTCAGTTTGTGCGAAAAACTCTTATGACATAAACTGCAAGAATAAAGCTTCTTACCAGTATGAACACAACTGTGTTTTTTCAAATTACCTTTTAATGAAAAACTTTTATTACATAAACTGCAAGAATAAGGCTTCTCACCAGTATGAACAAGGCTGTGTGTTTTTAGACTACCTTTTTGAGAAAAACTCTTATTACATATACTACAAGAATAAGGCTTATCACCAATATGAAAAAGACTGTGTTGATTCAGACTCAGTTTGTGTGAAAAACTCTTATGACATAAACTGCAAGAATAAGGCTTCTCACCAGTATGAGTACGACTGTGTATAGACAAAGTACCTTTTTGTGAAAAACCCATATTACATATACTACAAGAATAAGGTTTCTCACCAGTATGAGTACGACTGTGTATAGACAAAGTACTTTTTTGGGAAAAACCTATATTACATATACTACAAGAATAAGGCTTATAACCAGTATGAACACGATTGTGTTTCTTCAGATAACTTTTTCGTGAAAAACTCTTATTACATTTACTACAAGAAAAAAGCTTCTCTCCAGAATGAACATGACTGTGTTCTTTCAGATGACCTTTTTCTGAAAAGCTTTTATTACATACACTACAAGAATAAGGCTTATCATCTGTATGAACACGATTGTGTTTCTTCAGATGACTTTTTAGTGAAAAACTTTTATTACATATACTACAAGAATAAGGCTTATCACCAGTATGAACACGGCTGTGTCCTGTCAGATTATTTTTCAGTGAAAAACTCTTATAGCATATGCTACAAGAATAGGGCTTCTCACCTGTATGAACAAGATTGTGTCGTGTCAGATGACCTCTGTGTGAAAAACTCTTATTACATATACTACAAGAATAAGGTTTCTCACCAGTATGAGTACGACTGTGTATAGTCAGAGTACTTTTTTGTGAAAAACCCATATTACATATACTACAAGAATAAGGCTTTTCACCAGTATGAACACGACTGTGTCCTGTCAGATTATTTTTCAGTGAAAAACTCTTATAGCATATGCTACAAGAATAGGGCTTCTCACCAGTATGAACAAGATTGTGTCTTTTCAGACTACCTTTTACTGAAAAACTCTTATAGCATATGCTACAAGAATAGGGCTTCTCACCAGTATGAACACGACTGTGTGTAGTGAGATGACCTTTCAGTGAAAATTTTTTATTACATATACTACAACAATAAGGTTTCTCACTGGTATGAAGACGACTATGTGTAGTGAGACCACTTTTTCGTGAAAAACTCTTATTACATATACTACAAGAATACGGTTTCTCACCAGTATGAACACGACTGTGTCTGATCAAATGACTTTTACATGAAAAATTCTTATTACATTTACTACAAGAATAAGGCTTGTCACCAGTATGAACAAAACTGTGTGTATTCATAATCATTTATTGAGAATATCTTATTATCTATACTACAAGTAAAAGGCTTCTCACCAGCATTAATTTTACAGTGTTTAGTCGCACTTTTTTCCTGAAAACCTCTTGTTACAATAACGAATAAGGTTTACTTACAGAATGATGCGTATTCTGAATTAAATTAAGCCTCTAATAACATATGATACAAAAAAGAGCATGCTGTATCAAGTCACTTAATTGACTAAATTTTTACTTAAGTAAAATATAGTAATGAAGAAATATGATTCATTAATAGGTACATCTGTGAAAGCATTAATTTAACTTATATTCAGACATTAACATTTTTTATTTTTCACAAAACCAACTTTAATATTTCTCTTTAGTCGAAAATACCAAGATACAAAACTAAATGTAATTACTTTACTTTACGATATTAACATGATAATAACTATTATGAACATGAAATTATAAAATTTGATTTCATTAGCATTTTATTCACAAAGACACTGCAGAAATATAGTTCATTATAAACCAAGAAAGGACAAAAAAAAATTTTTCACTTTCACCGACTTATAAGTTTTGAAATTATCTATAAAAATATTTTTAAAAAATAATTACTTTTCAATTTTTATACCAATGTTTTATCATGCACCTGAAAAGCAAGCTCTTATTCGTTAACATGAATACGAGAAAGTCAACAAAGTTCAATTCTATTTACGAGTATTAAATTGCACAAACTGAATACAGAAAATATTTTCTCAGTGTTAACAGAAAAATCACAATTTAAATTTCTTGAGTTTAAATACATGTTTTACATATATGTTTTATGTAAGTGACACACAGCTTAATTATCTGCAACTGTAATCAGTAATCTGAAATTTCATTTTTTAACTGTTTAATAATACAATTCATGAAAAGTTCGTTTAAAGTGTTACTTAAACCAAATTATTCTTCTTTGTTTGATTAATTTATCACAATGAATGCATAAATAAATTATTTCTATATTAAACACAAAACAATGAAATGAACCAATTCTTTTCGTATAATTTTTTAGAACAGAAGTAAAATGTTTTATAATTACGAAGAATAATTATAAACTACAATTGGAAATTTATCAATACAAACATTAAATTTCCATGTAAGAAAATAATTTTCTGTTAGAAGATCATTGCAACTATGATACACATTGCACAGAGACTATTTGCTGTTAGGGTTGCTACATAGAATGATATTGCCTTTAATAATATTTCCTTTACCCATGGAGAATTTTCACACAATAATTGAATAGTTTATTGATTATATAAATCGTACAGAAAACACAATATTCTTAAAAATAAATATTTATGCACGCACAATACGAATTTTATTAACGGTCAGCAAAAAGATATTTTATCATCCACATCAACTTTTTTCCATATTAAGATAATCTATGAATTAGATCTGCATGGAAATAACCTTTTTAAATCGTTTTCTATATTGTTTCCATTACTACGAGGGTAATTCACTTAACATGTGCGAGATTATGAATACGCAGACTTATAAATTTGATTTAAGAAGTTGCATATCCAACACAATTTTTTTAAAACTTTTCTTTATACAAATATGGTTAATTAATGCATTCTTCGGTCTGAGTAAGATATTAAAATTTAATATAGTTTATCTCTCATTTTTTTTCACAAATAAGTAAATATTTGCGGTGAGGTTTGTTTACGCTATCGGTTGCCTACTTCTACTCTTCTGATCTCCGTCTCTAGGTTCTTGGGACATTTTTTGACCAGTAGAGGACGCTACTTATGTATATCAGCTTATCCTATTTTTAAGAGAGTATTCCTACTGCATTGAAGAAAATTGCGTGTGCGATTCCGAAGATGCGGCAGAGAAAATGATCAGTATCTGAAATAGAATAGTTACACAAGATACAAACAATGACAACAAACAATTTAGATACATAATTATCGAATATGTAAATAAATTGCATTTCAACTTACCAATATGAATTAAGACTAAATCATAATTGTTTCCTCTAACTTAATTTGTCCACATTGATTCCAGGGTATGCAACAACATCAATATCCCAATTTCGTTCAATATTTATGAATTAGCTAAATACTTCAACACGGAATCCCCTAGTAAAAAGAGAAACAAAGTAAAACATATATTAGTATTCTACGAAGAGACGGAAGAAATATGCAAGGTTTGCTTTGCCCTTTGAGACTTAAAAATTAACTTAAAAAATCTTAGCAGGGTATAGAGAATGGAGAAAATGTATAGATAGATATAAAAAATACAAGTCGTTTATGAATTGAATTTAATCAAAAAATTTAACTTCGAATTAAAATCTGTATAAAGCTATTTAAAATTGTATTTAAATTGCTTATCTGAATTATCTTCCAATGGATTGTCATGGTAATTTTATTATATATTTTAAATAAAAAAAAATATTGGGTACAAACTGTTTTGCACATATATGTGATGCATACAGAATAAATTTTTATGAAAGTATGCATGCTCGTTATTTATTCAATAGTTAAGACAACCTAAAAGAATAATAATGAAAGCAATAATTGCGAATAAAAATGACAAATATTAGCCAAAATATAAAATAAGGATTGTGCCATTTTTTCACAAGTTTCTGTTTAGATAAGTTTTTAATAAAATTGAAACAAAACTAATTTTTAAGAAAATAGAATATAAAGCACTTTATAAAAATAAAATTTAATTAGCAATATATTTCCTAGAAAAAAAAGATAACTTTGTATTATGTCACTGAAATAAATATAAATAATTTGATTTAAATAAATGAAATTTTATTATTAAACTGCCTTATTTATTTTTGACAGATCAAACGAAGGATTTCTAAGGAAACTGAGTGAAAATTTGATAAATGAAATATTTTTATGTTTACGATTTTCTAAAAATACATAAATTTTACGTAAAAAGAAAAACAAACCATGCAATTTAAATTCTAAAGTGTGTTTTCAGAAAATTTAATGTAGTTTATTAATATTTACAAAATTTCATGTTATCTTTAATTAATTAGAATTATTTGTAACTAAAACTTTCATGACAAAATATGAAATCCCACGCCATCCAATCTAGAAAATGGCTTTCTCTAATAAATGCTTTTGTTGAAACAAGCCAAAGAGAACTTAATTTTGGCGAATAAGTTTGGATACGGATTACACGATAAATATAGGGTTATAAGTTTGGTACAATATGCATTTGCAGTCTTTTGTGCTCAATTAACTCTTATAAACCTTTGTCAAGTGGATGGACAGATAGCACAATACAGTTTTATTGGTACAACACATATTTGCAGGCTTGTGTGCTCAATTAAGGCTTATAAACATTTGTCAAGAAGAAGAACATATAGCACAATAGAGAAGGACATCACAAAGAATAATCCAGGGTTACGGCGGGATTTGAGCCCGCTACCTCCACGCTTATCAGAGCATTTCGCGGGCGATACCTCTCGGCCAGGGTTATAAGAAGATTGATAGAATTCAAAGTAATCTTCACGAAAGCTAGCGCTAAGCTCACTCTGTCCAGTTACCAATTCCGAAACTGACCAAATATCGTTTGATGCTACTACCCTTATGAAAATTTAAGGTATATTTAAGGTTGATTTGAGGCATTTTGGAGGTATTAAGGTTGATTTGAGGTATTTTGGAGGTATTAAGGTTGTTTTGAGGTAGGTATATTTGAGGTATATTTAAGGTTGCAGAGAAAACAGCAATAAAAATTATACCTCGTAAAGGTTGTAATTAAGGTGTACGAGGTTGATTTATATATACTTCAGCTTGTTTTGAGGTTGTTTAAAATTCACTTCAAATCAACCAGACTGATAAGGAGATTTTTAAGGTATACCAGGTTTATTTTCTTACACTTGTAACAAAAGAGGTATTTTTGAGGTATAAAAATTTTTACCTTATTTCAACTAACGATAAAAAGGTATTTATTGAGGTATATGAAGTCATTTTATTTATACCTAAGCTTATTTTGAGGTTGTTTTAAATTCACTTCAAATCATCCAGACTGATAAGATGATTTTTAAGGTATACGAGGTTGTTTCTCTTACACTTGTAACAAAAGAGGTATTTATGAGGTATAAAAAAATCAACCTTATTTCAACTAACGAGAGTGAGGTAATTACGAGGTATAAAAAATATACCTTTTTTCTACTAACGATATTGAGGTATTTATGAGGTATAAAAAAATATACCTTATTTCAACTAAAGAGAGTGAGGTATTTATTGAGGTGTTGAAGTCATTTTATTTATACCTAAGCTTGTTTTAAGGTTGCTTAAAGTACACTTCATATTAACTAACTCACTTCCCAGAGTTCCATGCGAGCCGGCAAATGGCGTGTGTGTTGACAATCGAAAGTCTATTCGAAATTCGGTAAGTGTGCTTGACATTTATTAATTTAGTTTTATCACTTTTAATCAAATATGCTTCAATTTTGAAACTTAAATTTTATTATTTTTGTTTTAACGACGCGTCCTGATCTTAAATAATTTAAGTTGGAGGATATTCTTAGAGGCTATCGTTGTAGGCTTAGCAATAAGAGAGAATAACCGAAATATTTCTCGTCACTGTTTTGGGTAACATTACTGGTGAATCGTTACAGCAGGTTATGCACAGTATATTTTATTGTTTGTAGTTCAGTCAAATAGAACTATTCTTTTTATTTTGCTTAAATGTATATGTTTTAACGTAGCAGTATGCACGCTGATTAATTGAGAAAAATGTTCACAATTTCTCTTATAAATAAATCATTGAAAATTGAAAGATTTTTAAAATAGCAATTTTGCTTTGAAATTCTACTATAGCTGTATGCTTATCGTTTGGATATTTGTTGCAAAGTTTATATTATTGTTTATATATATATATATATATTTACAGAGCTTATCCACAGTTCCCTGATATTACTGAGATGGCCTAGGCTGTAAATAGCACATGCGCGGCGGCGCAGAAGAAGAGACAAGCAAGCTACTGCTCAGCCTTCCCCTAGGATATAGTTCTGAATTTATACCTAAAAGAAAAAGTAATCTCTCCTAATAAACTACAGAATTTATGTAATTGTTGATAACAATAGTTTGCTAGATATTTGATAATTGAAAACTAGTAACTGTACTAGCTCACTTCTTCATGTTTGATCACAAAACTGCTATTTTCACTACATGTTATTTTCTCGCATTTTACCCACGTTAATTATTTACTAAGCAGATTGTTATTACTTATTAGAATATTGGGCAGAATGAAATTAAATCCGATTTCAAGTTTATATGACAATTTGTTTCAAGGTTATGAGCTTTTTCATGCAGCTGTTTATGGTTCACTACTTCAAAAATGTGCGAATTTCGGAAATCTTAAATATTTTAGAAATAAGTCAGTATAGTATGCAATTTTAATCCTGAATTGAATAAAATCAATTGCAAATAAAAACATTTATTGTTGAAAGTAATATGCATTATTTTGAGTTTCATCCTATGGGATGTGTATTTATATTTAAACAAGTGTTTGTAACAACTAACTATTAGTTTTATTCTGCTCGGTATTATAAGTTATATAGGAGATATTATACTCAACTTATTTTAAAAGTATTATTTCAAATCATTCTCTCTTAGACATTTTCCTCACATAAAATTACTCACAACTTTAAAATAAATGCTCCTTATCAGCTTGTAATTTGTTCTATTCGATTGAGTGTAAAAAAAGAATAAAAATTGGTACATAACTTTAAAATTTTAATTTATTAAACGATTGTAGATTCTTGATTACATTGATTAAAAATTATTAAAATAACTATTTTTTAAGAAACTCTGATGTGATTGACAATAACATAAGTCCTTTTCAGAATCAGCGTCAAAAATTTAAAAAAAAGCTGCTAGTTTCATGAAGTCTGACAAAAAGTTGAAAAATATAGACTAGGTTTATTGAGTTTAAAGATTTTTAAAAAAGAAAGGGAAGGAAATCTAATTATTAAACTTACAAGTACCATAATGTTACAGATGTATAGAAAAATAAAAAGTGTTAAAATTGCATAATAAGATTGGAATTATACAGGGTGTTTATAAAGTCCCGGACCCATTTTGATGTTTAATAACTCATAAAATAATAAAGATAGATTAAAATTAATAACATTAATGGTTAGATAGACTCAAAAAGTTTCATGACCCTTGTCAATGAACTTCCACGTGTGCCCCCTTCGTCGCACGGAGAATATCAAGTCGATAGTCAATTTCACGAGAGGTAGCTTTCTTTTTTACAGAAAAGACAATCTCATCAGTCGTATACTTAGACATGTTGGAAAACTTCGTATTTCCACAACTAGAAGAGCTTCAGCCACATGTCTTTTTGCAACAAGATGGTGCACCACCTCATTGGGGTATCATCGTTCGTAGTTCTTTGAATGACCATTTTACAGGAAGATGGATTGGGCGAGGAGGTCCAATTCCTTGGCCACCCAGATCACCTGATATAACGCCGCTGGACTTTTTTCTTTGGGGATTTATAAAGGACAATGTTTACAGGAGGATCGTGTCGAACATTGATGGCCTAAAAGCCAGAATTACAACCGCAATAGCCTCTGTGGATGCCGACATGCTTGCCGCTACCTGGCGTGAAATTGACTATCGACTTGATATTCTCCGTGCGACGAAGGGGGCACACGTGGAAGTTCATTGACAAGGTTCATGAAAGTTTTTGAGTCTATCTAACCATTTATGTTATTAATTTTAATCTATCTTTATTATTTTATGAGTTATTAAACATCAAAATGGGTCCGAGACTTTATAAACACCCTGTATATTTGAATTTCTGTAAATGTTGTTAATGGTAATACTGTCTTCAGTGTATTTTATTTT